CCACCTCAAAACCCCCCTCCGCGCCTCGACACCCTATCCCCTTATCCCCTAAACTCCAGCTCCCGCCGCGTCCGCTTGACCATTAGGTCGTGATGTCCACCGCCTCCGCGCAGCGCAGTGCTCCCCCGACGATTGGCAGGATCGGGTGGTGGGGTCCCACTCCGTCCCAGCCCCGCCTTGGGACATTAAGCGCGGTGAAAGAGCGCAAGCGCGCCCAGAAGTCCACTACTGCCCGAGCGCGGGCGTATTCCAGGGGGGTTGCTGCTGCTGTTGCTGCTGCTGCTGCTGCTGTTGCTGCTGCTGTTGCTGCTGCTGTTGCCGTCCCCGGTCCCGCGATGGGCCCCTGCGTATGATCCTCGAGTACCGGCGCGTTCAGCGGCGGCCCCTCGTGCGGTCTCACTCCGTTGGCCAGGTGAAAGAAGTCCGTTATCCGCCGCTGTTGGGGCCCTTGCGCCTGGATCTGTTGCGCTTGCTCTGGCTGTTCTGTCGCGGGGTTAGCCGCCCTTTCCAGTCGCCTTCCGGCTGCTCGCAGACAGCACCTGCCTACCTCCATGGCAGACAGGGCTGCCAGGGCGATCACATCCCAGGGGGCCTGCTCGCAGCCGGTCGGGGCTTGGACCAACCACAGCTGCTTCCGGGTGATGCCGCCTGTCGCTGCCTCCTGGGAGGGCTGTATGTGTCGATCAATCTGCTCCCGGACAGCTTGTGCGACGGGGCACTCCCAGAAGTGGTGCATGCGTGGGGAGCAGTGCTGGTTGCTGGCGTTGCCGAACCCTCCACACCCACAGCGCTCCGGCACCATGCGGGCCAGGTGCGTGTTGCCGGGCAGGGGGATGCCGTCCACGGCGAGCCGCCACAGCGTTTCTTTGTTCTCATTCTCCCACCGCACCCCCGACCACAAGCGGGCTTGCGTCGCCCTGAAGCGGCTTTGTTTGTATGTATGTATGTATGTGTACGTTTCTGTTGCATCTCGATCCGGGCCTCACGCTGGCCAGGGGCACACACACGCTCACAACAGAGCTGTACCTGCGGTCCGGTCACGTCGCCTCCAGCATGTTCACCAGCGCCGCCTTGTACGGCAAACCCGCACGGCGGCGCTGCACACAATTCGTAAACACGGCGGTGGCCCCGATGGACTGTCTTAACGGCCTGAAGGTGGGTCCAACCGTGTCGTAATGGTTTGCCAACTGCGGGTTTAAGGGAGGAGGGGAACGGGGGGATGGATTGTTGGGGACGGGGTAAGGAGGGGAGCGGGGGGGAAAGACGAACCACACGCGATTTAAGCTGCTGCCAGGGTAAGAAAGTAGCAACCGAAAGAACTGACCGAAAGGCGTCCGTGGCGACTGTGACGACTGTAACCTCGGGATGACGACTGTAACCTCGGGATGAAGATTTGACGTAGAAGTAGGAAGTCCTACCTACCTAAGCCGCCAGAAATAATATAGCCAAACCGTAAACTAGTAGGTGTAGAAAAAGTAGTGAAGGCGGCGAGAAAAAGAAGTTGCGTAAAGTTGCTGACCAGGAGAGAAAGCTGCATTGCTGATACTGAAGGGCTGCCGGTATGCAAGTGTTCCTCCCAACCCCCCAAAAAATCTAGAACGCGCGACTGACCCGACCGACCCAAACTAAACTAAACCCGACCGACCCAAACTAAACTCCCCCCCGGGGGGGGGGAGGAGGCGGTTGGGAGGGACGAAAAAAAAGCAAGCTGACACGATAAGGACATACAAAGAAGGCGCGGAGGGAAAAGAGGTTTACATGACGAGGGTGGGGGAACCTTGGGACAAAGCAGTGAGTGTGTGTGTATGTGCGTGTAGGTGTGACGGGGAGGGGATCATGTACAAGAAGCAGACTGTCGGGGCCTAATAGCTCCAATGGCGTCCAGAAAGGGGAGGAGGTCCAACGGCAGGAAGTTGGGGCTAAGAGGGTTCGGTGGTCAAGGGGGTCTTCAAAAAGGAAGACGGTCAACGGTGACTGGCAGTTCATTGATCAACCGGGACAAAAGGGGGGCTGGAGGAGAAGGGGAGAGAGGTGAAGGATGGGAAAAGGTGGTCGCTGAGAGGGAAGAAAGGGACCTTTCGCAAACTAGATGGATGGATAAGCCTCGTCTGTTGCCCCGCTCCAAGGTAGCTTCGGCCTTCCGCAATCCTCCTTAGGCGTCACCCCGCTTCTCCTAGTCGCCCATACCAAAAAGCCAAGGCGATATTTTCTAGGGATACCCAGGTTGCGTCCCCCGGGCCCCTTCCAGTCGCATCCACGACACCCCAGCATGGACCCTCTGGGCCCCTTCGAGTCGTATCCACAACACCCCAGCATGGGCCCTCCGGGCCCCTTCCAGTCGCACCGCGACACCCCAGCATGGACCCTCCGGGCCCCTTCCAATCGCATCCACAACACCCCAGCATGTGCCCCCCGGGCCCCTTCCAGTCGCATCCACAACACCCCAGCATGGACCCTCCGGGCCCCTTCCAATCGCATGCACGACACCCCAGCATGGACCCTCCGGGCCCCTTCCAATCGCATCCACAACACCCCAGCATGTGCCCCCCGGGCCCCTTCCAGTCGCATCCACAACACCCCAGCATGGACCCTCCGGGCCCCTTCCAATCGCATGCACGACACCCCAGCATGTGCCCCCCGGGCCCCTTCCAGTCGCATCCACAACACCCCAGCATGTGCCCCCCGGGCCCCTTCCAGTCGCATCCACAACACCCCATCATGGGCCCTCCGGGCCCCTTCCAGTCGCATGCACGACACCCCAGCATGTGCCCCCCGGGCCCCTTCCAGTCGCATCCACAACACCCCAGCATGGGCCCCCCGGGCCCCTTCCAGTCGTATCCACAACACCCCAGCATGGGCCCCCCGGGACACTTCCAGTCGTATCCGCGACACCCCAGCATGGGCCCTC